GGGAGAGGGAGAAGCAGGCTTCCCGCGGAGCAGGGAGCCCGATGCGGGGCTCGATCCCAGGACCCTGGGATCATGACCTGAGCCGGAGGCAGACGCTTAATGACTGAGCCACCCAGGTGCCCCTAGAATTTTCATTTTCAAAGCACCCTCCCATAGCTGTGGGAAGAATAGAATAGGGGATGATATGGATGCTGTGTTGGAGAGTTGAGATTTATCTCATGGCGGATGAGGAACCGTTGGAGGCTTTAAATCAGGAGAGTGATATGATCAGATTTATGTTTCAGGAAGATCACCTACAGTGATTAGTTTGGGTTCAAATCCTGGTCACCTTTGGGTCAGTTGCTTGATCTCTCTAAGCCTCAATGTCCTCATCTGTAAAATAGAATAATGATAGCTCTTACCTGATAGGGTAGTTCTGAAGGTTAAATGAGATAATGCATATAAATTGCTTAGTAAATGACTAGCCCAGAGTAAATGCTCAATAGCTGAGAATGATGATAATGATATAATTATTAGAGTAGAGAGAAACTGGAGTCAGGGAAATAAAATGTAGTTAGGCAAGAGATAGTAAGGCCCAAATTAAGGGAGGTGTAAATGGAGAGGATAGTTATGAAAGATATGAAGGAGATAGAATTGTTAGGCTTTGAAACTTGATGCTAATGGAAGGGATCAAAGGGCAGGCATCTTTGATGGTTTCACTTTCCAACCTGGGTGACTGAGTGGATGGGGATGCAGTTGAGTGAGATAGGAAATACTAGAAGAAATAGAAATTTGGTGTAGAAAAAGAATATAATGGTTGGGGTGGAAAAAGAACACACTGAGGTTGGTTTTTAAATATATTGAGTTTAAGTACTCTGTTACCAATTTAAACATGGGGTTCCAGGAAGTCTAAGCTACAGAAATAGGTTTGAACTTTGGGGCACCAGGCTGGCTCAGTCAGTAGAGCATACGACTCTTAATCTTGAGGTCTGGAGTTCGAGCTCCACATTGGGCATAGAGATTATAAAAAAATAAATAGATAAAAATGAAAATATTAAAAAAAGAAATAGATTTGAACTCCATCATAAGGTACAAGATGAAGCTACAGGTGGGGATTAGAACACCCAAGGGGAGTGTATAGAATAAGAAGACTAGATCGGCAGGGGGCGGGGTGGGGAGTGGCTGAGTGGCTCAGTCAATTGAGCCGAGCATGTGACTCTTGGTTTCGGCTCAGGTCATGATCTCAGGGTCGTGAGATGGAGCCCCATGTCGGGCTCTGTGCTCAGCAGGGAATCTGCTTGAAATGCTCCCCCCCTCTCTCCCTCTACCCCTCCCCCCGCTCATGCATTCTCTCTCTCTCTCAAAATAAATAAATAAGCCCTTAAAAAAGAAGAAGACTAGGGGTTCAAGCATATATTCCTGGTCAAGGATAATGAGAAGGAACTACTGGAGAGGTGACATGGAAATGAAGGTGGAGAAGTTTCAAGAGAGAGCAAGGGAGCCCAGCCCTCATCCTGAAAGAGAAAGGAGAAGTAACCACTAGGGAGCTGAGTTTTTAGCAGTTCCTTCCCACAGGATGCTCACAGTAAAATCTGTAATAACAAGAATAGAAAATGCTCTACTATGGAGGAGTTCAGACTGGGACATCTGTTATCCCATTGATCATCAGGATTAATTTGACTGTCATGGGGATTTCTTCTTCCTCCCTTGGCCAAATAGAATCACCTATCCAAAAGTAGAGGATCTTCTTTGGTCAATAGCGTAAGAATGGTGGACCTCCTTTGCTAGAATCTCCAAGCTGCCTCCAATGTGTACTGCAGTATTATGTTTCTTTTCATAATACTATTCCCTTTTGCAGACCAAAACCCAGAGATAACAGAGTGTCTATTTGAAGATACATTTCATCCTTCATCTCAGAACAGCCCGTACTTGTGGTGGTGGTGGAAGGTGGGGCAGAGCCTTGCTCAAAGTGAGGAATGGAAGAGTAGAGAGAGGTAGGAGAAAAGTAATAACATGGCAGGGTTAGATAAAGGACTAGCAGAGGTTAGTTGAGTAGTGTTTTGTTAGGCCGAGATAGTGGGAGCAGCAAGGGAGAAGGGGAAGATGGTGTTTCTGGCAGGAGGAATTGTAAAAAGCAAAGGTGCAGGTGTGCCCAGCTGGCTTAGTCAGGAGAGCATGCAACTCTTGATCTCAGGGTCATGAGTTTGAGCTGCATGTTGGGTTGTAGAGATTACTTTAAAATAAATAATTTAAAAAAAAAAAGCAAAGGTGCAGAGGTGAGAAAGCACAGACCATGCTCAGGAAATGTGAGTAGCCTTGCCGGGCTGCATCTCAAAGTGCTAGCACATGAAGGGTTGGAGAACAGGTTGGAATGGAGATGTGGGGCCAGATGATAGAGTTCTGAGGGCCAGGGGAGGGAGTTTGGGCTTTGTTCTTCTGTGGTTTGATGGCTTCTGGGAGGAACCATCAAAAGCTTTCTAGGAATTCAGGCTTGTCTGTCTCAGGCTTCTCCTTTTGGAAGACCAAGGGCCCAAAGTGGCAGCCTGACATTCAATCTCCTTTGCCATGGTTGGGAAGTCAGGGCTGCAGCTGATTTCACTGGCCTGTTTTGCATTTATTATAGTGTGGCTTTTATAGTGTGTTAATTGAAATATTTCCAACTGCCAAAAACAATTACACTCAAATTGCCTTGTCAGTTCTTTTATTGCCAGATAAATGTTTTACAGACATATTTACGGGGGGGGCAGTGGTAACTGGATCTCATTTTCTATTTAAGGCTGGCAGTTTGGATTGGGATTGGCCCTCCAGTGCTCTGTTGTGGGCCAGAAAGCTGTTGGATGTTGTGCGTTTCCATCTTGTTACCTTAGGGATCAGAGGTGCATCAAAAAAAAAAGCAGCTTTCTGGCTCATGCAGCTTAGCTTCAGAGAAGGGTTCCATGGCTGGAAACCCTGGCAACCTGGCAGAAATCTGAATCCTGCTGCCTGCTCTACCAGCAATAATCCCAGCCCAAGCTGAGACATGCTCTTCCCTCTCCCTGGAATCCCTTTCCTCCCCTCCACCATCAAAGCCTCTCCCATAGGCTATCATGTAAGAGCTGTAAGAGCCCATCTAGCCTAACCCTCTCACTTTGTATTTGGGAAACCGAGGCCCAAGAGACTTCCCCAAGACCACACAGGTGGCCTGTGAGCTCAGGGAGCAGAGGCCTCTGTCCATGGGCTGTGCTGCCGCCACGCTGCCCCGACCCCTCCTTCAATACTTGAGACCTGCTTCTTACGGGAGCCCTTCCTTCACTTTTCTAGTCTCCACTGATCTCCCTTTGGCTTGATCATCTGAAACACCTATCGTTCTGTATATATACTGCAGGGTTTTTGTTTGCTTGGTGGAACATTTTACTGGCTCTGTCATTGTTCTTCTCTTGTCTTTGTGCATGCCATTTTCTTCTTCTGAAAATTTTCTCCACTTGGACAACCCATACTTGTTCTTTGACACCCAGCTGGGAAATAGCCACCTCTGGGAGCCTTTCTTGGGCTGGGTGGGTGTCTCTGTGCACCCCTCCAGCACCCTGGGCACACGTATCTCTGCTGCGGGCACAGAGCAGGCTTTCAAAGGAACATATACTGAGTGAGGGAGGGAGGGAGGGAGGGAGGGAGGGAGCACTGCCTATACTTGTCTGTCCTCTGTGGACCCTGAGCAAACTGGAGCAGAGACCTCATCTCTCTGTTTTTGTCCTACTGCTTACGTGTGTCCCTGACAAATAAATAGATGCTCAACAAATGTTTATCAAGCTGAACAGGCCATGCTGCTCTTGGGAACATAAGATTTTAGCATATTAGAACTGGAAGGTCATCACATCCAATCTGACAAGGAAACTGAGGCCCAACGAGGAAAAACATTTTCCCCAGCATCATGATCACTAATGGGTTTGATGGCATTCCTTCATTTATTCAATAATATTTTGAATGCTTACTATATTCTCAGACAACGGTGTACAAAACAAAGTACCTGCCCAGAAAGAGTTTACATTCATCCCAAACAAGTGTTTATGAATATAATCTGACTTCAAAATCCCCTTAATGCATAGTACAAAGCTGAGCACTTAGAATATGCTTTTTGTTTGTTTGTTTGTTTGTTTTTTAAGAGAGGGAGAGAGGGGTAGGGAGGGGCAGAGAGAGTGAGAGAGAATCTTAAGCAGGCTCCACACCCATTGTGGAGCCCAAAGCGGGGCTCAATCTCACAACTCTGAGATAATGACCTGAGCTGAAACTGAAAGTCAGATGCTTAACTGAATGAGCCACACAGGCACCCCTAGAATATGCTTTTTAAAAATGTTTGTTGAGGGGCGCCTGATGGCTCAGTCGGTTAAGCATCTGCCTTCGGCTCAGGTCCTGATCCTGGGGTTCTGGGATCAAGCCCCGCATCAGGCTCCCTGCTCGGCGGGAAGCCTGCTTCTCCCTCTTTCTGCCGCTCCCCCTGCTTATGTGCTCTCACTCTCCCTCTGACAAATAAATAAATAAAACCTTAAAATTATTAAAAAAAAAAAAAAAAAAACTTGGGAAAGCTCGATGTCCACTGCCTTCAAGGTCTCTGGGCAGAAGCCTCCCTGCGGTGCTGTTTCTGATACCTCCGCGGAGATTTGCCTCTGACTTAACTTGTGTTTCTGTTCTTTCTTTCAGAGCTTCAGCGTGGGCAGAGGAACCAGGAGGAGAGTAAGTGCTGAGCCCACTGTAGGCTCTCAGCAAGAAGCCAACAGCATTGTTTTCCACTGAAAAGATTAGCTCTATGTTGTTTAGAAAATTCAAATGAGCAAAGAGAACATTAAAATCACCCTTAAACCCACCATTGCAGGACACCTCTTCGATAATTTGTAATGTTATATGCTCTCAGATATTTCTGTGCATATATAAAAATTACATGTATTTATTTTTAAATGGAATCAAACTGTATGTTATTTTATAATCTGCTTTTTACATAATATATTTAGAGTACTTTCCATTGCCAATAAACATACTTTTATAGCATCATTTAAAATTACTGTATAATATTTTACCATATGTTCCTTAAGGCCATACCATAATTTGTTCAACCATGCCCCATTATTGGACATTTAGATGTTTCCTCTTTTTCACTATTATGATCAATTCTCCGGCAAACATTCATGCATTTAAATCTCTGGGCATGTCCGTGGCTGTGGTTATTTCTTTAATATAAAGTTCTACACATAGAAACTTCAGTCAAAGAGTATACATACTTTTTAAGCTTTTGAGAAATATTTCCTAATTGCTCTTTAGAAAGGTTGTGCTTGATTCGAAGGGGCACATGCACCCCGATATTTATAGCAGCAATGTCCACAATAGCCAAACTATGGAAAGAGCCCAAATGTCCATCAACTGATGAATGGATAAAGAAGATGTGGTATATATACATACAATGGAATATTACTGAGCCATTGAAAAGAATGAAATTTTGCCATTTGCAATGACAAATGTGGCTAGAACTAGAAGGCATTATGCTAAGCGAAATAAGTCAGTCAGAAAAAGATAAGTACCATATGATTTCACTCATATGTGGAATTTAAGAAACAAAACAGATGAACATAGGGGAAGGGGGAAAAAGAGAGAGAGAGAGGAAAGCAAACCATAAGAGAATCTTAACAATAGAGAACAAAACTGAGGGTTGATGGAAGGAGGTGGGTGTGGGATGGGCTAGATGGGTGATGGGTATTAAGGAGGGCACTTGTTGTGATGAGCACTGGGTGTTATATGGAAGTGATGAGTCACTGAATTCCCCACCTGAAACCGATATTACCATATATGTTAACTAACTAGAATTTAAATAAAAACTTGAAATTTAAAAAAATGACCAAAATTGTTAGACTGGCTCTGCACATCAACAGGGTAACCACAGTTATGTTTTTGAGGAATAAATAAAATATCTTCTATTTTTTAGAGTAGCAAAGAGAGGTTAACTGTAAAATTCTGCTGCAAAACATATAGAAACTATAGTCTGCCACTGCAGAAGAAAAAACTATTAACATAAATATGAGAAAACTTATCTAATTTTACTGAACACCAGCAGCCTGACTGCTAATCATGTATGTCAGGGGTGGGCAAATTTTATCTATAAAGTGCCAGATAGCAAATATCTTAGGCTGTGCAGGCACTATGGTCTCACATATAACTACTCAACTCTGCTTGTAGGGCAAAAGCAGCAAAAGACAATACATAAATGAATGAGTGTGGTTGTGTCCCAATAAAACTAGTTATGGACACAAGGAAGGAAGGAAGGAAGGGAAGGGAAAGGAAAGGAAAAAGGAAAAGGAAAAGAAAAAGAAAAAAAGGAAAAGAAAAGAAAGAAAGAAAGAAAAAGAAAGAAAGAAAGATTCTGCTAATTTATGGGTATCAATTTTCCCATAACCTCATCAACATTGGATATTAATTTCATTTGGTTGAGGGGTCTCTTTGTTTTGGATTTTTGTTGTTGTTTTAGTTTTCAACAGTTTTTTTTTTAAATATTTTATTTATTTATTTATTTAAGAGAAAGCGAGAGAGTGAGCACGAGCAGGGGGAGGGGCAGAGGGAAAGAGAATCTCAAGCAGACTCCCCACTGTGCAGAGCCTGACATGGGGCTCCATCTTATGACCCTGAGATCATGACCTGAGCTGAAACCAAGACTTGGTCGCTCAACAAACTGAGCTACCCAGGGGACCCATAGTTTTCAGAAGCTTTATATAAAGTGAAAAATTGCATTCTTTTTTTTTGTTTGCATATCTTTGCTAACAAGGGTGAATTTTTTTTAAATATGTCATGGGCCACTTTGGCAAGGTGTTTAGCTGTCTATTAGGGAAAGGAAAAACTTCTAGTTCTTGGGTTTTTTTGCAGCAAGGATCTGATGGGCTGCGAGGCTTAAAGTTACCAAGTACTGAGGGCGCCTGGGTGGCTCAGTTAGTTAAGCGACTGCCTTCGGCTCAGGTCATGATCCTGGAGTCCCGGGATCCAGTCCCGCTTCGGGCTCCCTGCTCAGCGGGGAGTCTGCTTCTCCCTCTGACCCTCCCCCCTCCATCTCATGCTCTATCTCATTGTCTCTCTCAGATAAATAAATAAAATCTTTACAAAAAAAAAAAAAAGTTACCAAGTACTGAGAATATCGTTGTAAGAGTAACCATAAGGTGGCAAATTAGAAGATAAACATGAATCAGAGTTGAAGTAGCTTAAAGAGCAGCCGGATGTCCTTTCATTTTGCATAAAGCCCTGCCTTTGGCAGCTGGTCCTGACCATTTGGTTCTAGGCTGTATGGGAGAGAGTAAGGAGAGATGAGTTCTGGTCTCTGGCCCACCACAATGTTCCAGCTAACCCCTGGCCCCAAGGGCTGAGGTGGCCAACATCTTCCAGGCAATGAGAACTCTGGACTGAGCAGTTCCTTTGGACTCCTCCGTGAGTGGTCTATTGTGCATTTTATATTCTCGGTATTGGGGGCAGAGCTTGGCTTCTGGGAGGATTCGTGAATGAAGTGGCTTCCTGCAGCACTGCTTACTGATCCTCACACAAGGTTTCTGTCCAGGATGAAGATTCAGGGACCGACGTGGGAGAAGGAGCAGATGAATGGGCCCAGTCCAAAGCCACAGTTAGACCCCCTGACCAGCTGGAGTTGACTGATGCGGTGAGTTAGAAGCATCCTGCCCTTGCCCCTTCCACCTTCTCCAGCCTCAGAGATGTGTTCTTTCATTGGACTGATTAGCAGCCTGTACGGAACCTGGGTGTGAGATGTCTGCTGATGCCCTTAGGGGTCCTCCCAAGTATCAGAAGGGGTGGGGGCCCTCCATGTATGACCCTCTTGATATTTCTCTCCCTTAGGAGCTAAAGGAGGAGTTCACCCGCATTCTGACAGCCAACAACCCACATGCACCCCAGAACATCGTCAGGTACAGCTTCAAAGTAAGTCATCACCCCTGGGGTAGGGGCCTCTAGTTACTCTTGGCTTGGCAGTGACTTGCTACATTGCAGAAGCCTCTCTGCTATTAGAGAGATCACCTTTAAACTTTGGTCTTCAGCTAGAACCTTGAAATTTTACATGGAATTTTCTGGAGAGTTAAAAAATTTCTTTACTAATCTCCCTTGCAGTCTTAATGAGTACTTATTACATGTCAGACACTGTGTTAATAAATTATTTTCATTATTTTTAATGCTTAAAACTATCCTGAAAATTAGGTAGTATTATCCTCATTTTACAGATGAAAAAATCAAGGCTTAGAATGGTTAAGCCCAAGGTCATGCAGAAAATAGGGGACAGAACCAGGATTTGAATCCATTCTGCCCACTGCCATAAACCCTGCTCTTAGCTGCCACGCTGTTTTAACCTCCCATCCATCGGAGTTCCCAAGAGAAGGGCTCTGTGGTGACTTTTTAAGGCAGAGCATCCCAACCTATGTGCAGAAATAGTAATCCTTTCAGCCCTCCAGGGCTAGGTGGGTTTGGTTCAGCCAGAGCCCATGGGCTGGTTTCTTCTCTAGAGCTTCCCCTCTTTAGAATTTACCCCTGTGTGTCATACAAATGTAATAATTGTCTATGTGACTTGAAAAGGGTTGAGAAGAAATGTTTTGAAAGAAGGAAGGACACCCTGGTGTCAAAGTCAATGGTACAACTAAGATGCTTGTCAATAAGGAAGCTATCTAGGGGAACCAGACTAATAGGCCCTATGAGAACAGGGATCACATCTGCTTTTGCTAAGCTTCATATCCCTGGAACCTAGAAAATACTTGGCATGTTGTGTTGTGTCTGCTTAAAAATTATTTGTTGAAGAAGGAATGAACAAGGTTGCCTGGATTTAATGCTGAGCCCTGCTTCTCATTTGCTGTATGAACTGGACAAGTGCCAAACTCAAACCTTTTCTAGATTTCTGTGGCTTCTTGTATGGAACAGGGGGATTGGGGATTTGGTATCTTTGAAAATCTATCCAGTCCTCGCATCCACTAAATGCAGTTTGGAGAAGGTCAGGCCAGGTGTGTCTGATGACTACGTGTGACCTGTCTCAACTCTGCGGTGAGTCAGGTATACCAGGATCCCTTGGCATGGATGTGAGAGCCAGTGACAGACAAATCCAGAGCTGTTCAAAGTTGAAAAGAAAAGGTATTTAAAAATATGTCTTTGATGAGAACTTAAAAACATAACTTTATTTCATTTGCTTCCTATTCTTAAGCTGGAATGTAATGAAAACTTCAGGTTAACTGAAGATATATCTATATATCTTGTTAACAGATGGACCATGTTAAGCCTTAGAGAATGAAGGCAGACTACATTCTCACTCCAGCTCTTTTGGGACCGCTGGTCTGATTCAGTCCCTTCTCCTCTTAGGAAGGCACATATAAGCTTATTGGCATTGTGAACCAACTGGCAGTTCACTTCAGCCAGGTTGGGAACCTGGTCCCCAAAGACTCGGATGAAGGACGGCGGCAGCACTACCGTGATGAGTTAGCAGCAGGTAGGCCTCGGGGCCAACCCGAAGCTGCAGCCCAGAGCCCAGTGCCCTTTCTGTGGTCACCCTAGGAAGCAGATACTAAGCAATAACTTTGCAGAGCTTCTACTTACATAAAATCCCACAGCTGGCTGCTGGTTAGGTCTGGGAGTTAAGCCCTGAGAACCCTGGGGTAGCTGAGGTCTTAAAGGCAGAAACCAAGAAAGCCTTGCCCTGCCAGGGGTGGGGGCGTAGGCCTGGGCTTCAGGTTCATCTGCAATATCTTACCAAGGTTCTCAGGAGTCCACCAAGGTGGTGATTTCAGAAACCGAAATCCTTGAAGAAGAAGAGCCTAAGGAAGCAGAAGCTGAAACTGAAGCTGGGAGTCAAACAGATATGCCTGTAGCTGAGGTACAGTATAGTACTGCTCCCATCCCTCCCCTTCCAGCTCTGGCTGTGCATGGAAGCTTCAGGGGTCACTTGTTGTGGGGGGTGGAGCTGAAGGTGAGAAGTTAGAGGCTGCAGGTACCAATGCCTCTGGCATCATCACCCTCTCCCACTTCCATCCTCTCCTAGGACATAAGTTCTCCCCACCCCCTGGTTCCCCACCACCTTCTTCCCACAGCTGAGCCCTGGTCCTGTGGGTCTTTTTTTCTAGGCAGCTGCAAAAGTGACTGAAGAAGAATTGATGACTCATAAGCAGCCCAAGGAGCGAAAGCTCACCAACCAGTTCAACTTCAGTGAGAGGGCCTCACAGACCTTAAACAACCCTCTCCGGGTAGAGCAGCCCCCACCCCAGCCCCTTTACCTCCCAGCTCTGCACTGTGCATGGCAGGAAAGGAGCAGGCCTGATCCCAGCCCCAGTGGCCCTTAGCCTAGAAGGATGACAGGAACACGCCACAGTTAATCTCTCCAAGGAGAGCTGGGAACATGTGTTTGGGTCCTTGCAAGCCCTCCTGGTAGGAGTTCAGAGTGGGTGACAAGGAGTCTGGAGCCCTTCACTGAGACAGAAACGTATATGGGCCTTGGAGAAGAGGTCAAGATCTGGGGGAGAGAGGGGAGGCCAGAATGTGCCAGGGAGGCAGGACCCTAAGCCAGTTTGACTGAAGTTGATGGTCTCTGTGATAGACTAGCTGGAAAAGGCTGGAAAAGTTCCCTGGCTCATAAGTATGGAAGACCCCGAGTACCAGGCTGAAGGAACCTCTCAGGATTTCAGGGGAGAGACTCACGTATGTAAGACAGTGTTTTACAGAAATCAATCTGTGAATGGAGGGCAGAGGTCTACAGGATGGGTTTCTGGAAGCTCCTAATCATGGTGTGTACTCCTTGTACTCCCCTGTGTACCAGTAATCTGGGTGATACACAATGAGGAGGGAGTGTATTCCTCTGCTGGAACCAGAGGCCCCAGTATTAGGGAGAAGTCTTCTCAGGGTGAGGGATATTAGCCCAGTAGTTTGCCAAGGGCCGACCTCTGTGTCTTGCATCAGGAGGCTGGCCAGAGACCTGTCCATCCCCCATGTGGAGTTTTTCTTGGTTGAAACTGTCACAATCAGGCTTCATTGTCCCTGATTTCTAGCTTAGGCTTCTTCTGAAGGAGGCTTAGAAGGAAAATGTAGGCTTCCACTGTGTCATTTGGTCCTTTGTTTAGCCCCTCTTTACTTCCCCAGTTCTTTGTCCCATCCCTCCCTCTGCTCCAACTGAAATGTTTCACCCATGGATATACTGTTGGGTTAAGTAAGAAGGAGTTGAGGGCTTTCTGTGGGTTTCCTGTTGTCATTGTTCTCTAGGACCGAGAATGCCAGATGGAGCCTCCTCCCAGGACAAACTTTTCAGCCACAGCCAATCAGGTGAGACACTGGGTCAGTATAAAGTCATCACCACACCCCCAGCCACCCACCCCATGCATCCTTGTCAAAGATTCCTCTGACAGTCTGCCCTCCTCATCCATCCGTCTCCCTGCTCCTTGTCCAGGCTCTGAACACTAGGAATATGAGACAGTGGGACTCCACCCACTGAGCTCTGCATCAGCTACATGCACCACCCCCACCCTGTGCAAGGCTGTCAAAGAGGGAAATAGGCATGGTTTCTAACTCTCTGCAGCCCATGGCACCCCAAGGCTGACTCTGAAGTGTTAGCACTCTAACCTGCCCTTCCAGCAGCCTTCATTGTTCCTGAGACCCTCCTTCCCCCTCAAATCCTATTGGATAGCCATGCTGATTTGGGCAGGATTTGGTGCCAGGAGACCTGAGCTCAGGCCCCAACTTTGCTGCTCATACTATAAGATCCTGGGTGAACCACGTCACTCTTAATTCATCAGTCTCTCTTTCTGAGTCAAATGAGGACAACAAGCAGCCTCACAGGGTTGTTGGAAGGCTCTGAATGAGATTAACAAACATTAAATTATATTGTAGCATGGAGTACTGACCCATGGGTGAATTGTTAATGTAAGGTGCGTCTATCTGGCCTCCAGGTGGCAGTGACTGCCCAACTCTGCAGAGCACAGAATGTGATATGGGGTTTTTCAGTCCCAGATCCTTGCTGCTTCCTTTGCTACTATCCTTGGGCTTCTCTTGCTGTCAGATCCAGTTAGCAGGGGTTCCCTAACCTTTTTTTTTTTTAAGCTTTTATTTATTTATTTATTTATTTATTTGAGAGAGAGACAGAGACAGAGGGCAGGAGCAGAGGGAGAAGCAGAGGGGGAGGGGGTAAGAATCTCAAGCATACTCGGCACTGAGTGTGAGACCCAACACGGGGCTCAATCCTCTGACCCTGAGATCATGACCTGAACCAAGAGTCAAACACTTAACTGACTGAGCCACCCAGGCACCCGTCCCTTCCTTTTGTTTATCTTTTTAGTCTCAGAAGGTGTGGTCAGTGCTGTAGACAGCCGACATGAACTAGTAAAGTTTATCACATTTCCATAGGGGAAACATTTTTAAAATGTCCTAGTTCAGAGTCTTATAAATCACCAAGAAAAATATGAGCTAGTCTAATATTTGCCCATTTGTTTTGCCTAGCGGGGTCTGTAGGTTGGAACAATACTGATCTCCAGCTGATAATTGAGCCTCTGAGCTGCGGGGTGGAAAGCTCATCCCAGAGGTGCCCTGAGAGCTTCATTCCTGTCCTAGAGCTGACAGCAGAGAAGACAGACATCTAAAACATAATTACAGTGGTCCAAGTAGAGGATGCCATAGAGGCATATGCAGGGGTTGACATAATCTATTCCTCAAGCTCTAAAAGCTGAATAGGAGGTGACTGGATGAAGATTTTGCCCCGTGATGATCCTTTTCATCTTGCCCTTGCCTAGTGGGAGATCTACGATGCCTATGTAGAGGAGCTTGAGAAGCAGGAAAAGACCAAAGAGAAAGAGAAGGCAAAGACGCCAGTGGCTAAAAAAATGGGGAAGATGACCATGAGGAAGATGACATCTATGGAGTCCCAGGTTTGGTGGAGGTTTCCATGGCTCTGTCACAGAGAATGGCTGAGTGGGATATTGGTCTCTGGGTAGACAGAAGCCTGGCTTTCTGGAAGGACTTCACAGACTTTAAGGGGTGGGGTGCCAATGTTGAAGTATGAATAGTTCTTTCCTTGTGGGAAGATGTGAGAAGAGCTACAGCTGCCTCTGGCATTCTATACCTCTCCCCAGTCTTATATAGGATTCAGGATTTTTGGGCTAAAGGGCAACAGAAGACATGAATGTTATTGAAAGTCCAATGTACACCTTGAAAGAGCTCAGGACTCTTCTTGGGATGGATTGGGATATGAGAATAAGGCACCACCTCTGAGCAAGGGCTCCTGGGGTTTGGGAGAGTGATTTGCTCTTTGACCTTCAATCCTTGGGTATACTTCTGCTCAATTTTTTAGGTGAGTCTTATGGGCCAGAAGCCAAGTCAGAGCTGATCACAGTCACCAGCAAGTCCAGGCCAATGGGTGTGGTTATTCTGGGCTGGATTTTTACTGTGAAGAACCATTTAGGAGTCATTATAGAGGTCATGGTTGGGGGGCTCACTGTGGGTATAGCTAGTATAGATTGGAGATCATCATGGAAGTTATGGTAATAGGTCACCACAGGGAAGATCACCACAGGGAGATGCTGAAGGGCCACTTTTGTCCCTTCAACAGAGAGAAAGCTGTGTCAGGAGCCAGAGTCGCAGTATGGATATCAGGATGAGTTTGACCTGCAATGGAGTGGGAAAGATGAGGGCCACAGGAAGCTGAGGTCTGGGTTCAGCACCCTGGAGAGCTCCCAGACTGCTCTCTGGGAAGTGCTTCTGCTATAGAAGCCAGATCAGTTAAAGGAAACTTTGCTTTGTCTGAGGTATGCCCACTTCCACTCAATTCCATGTCCCTGATAAAAGTCACATTTTACGGGAGGTTTGAGGGTTCCCTGCTTTGGCTTAGTATGAACTTCCACAATTCAGTTTCATTCAACTACAGACCAAGAACTCGTGATCATGATCATGCTGGGTACTGGAACCCAGAGGTGAAAGATGAAGTCCCTGCCCCATGGGTTGCCCTATCCAGACCCTTGATTTCCCCTGTACTGTTGCCCAGAAGTTAGTGGCTTTGGAGGGGCTGTTGGCCTGAGTCGAGTTTCACTTGAATATCCTTCAAAGGTTTGGCTATAGGCTGTGTGCTAGGACCATTATTGCAGAAACCCTAACTGCAGTTGCCAAGACCCAGAGAACAGAAGAAATGTCCCAGTGGCTGAGACTGAAAACTGTCCTTGGGTCTAAACCCTTGGTGTCTAATATGTCTATCAGACTTGGTGTCTAATGTGCCCAGGGAAGGAGGACTACACTGGATTCTTCCAACTTGGTTGACATTCAAGGCTGTGATGCAGACAGATTCCAGCCCTCTGGACCAAGAAGCTACAGTGGTGGCAGGACATTGTGGGGTGTCCCCCAACACCAGTGAATACCTTAGTGTGCAACCTCTACACAAGGGCATTGAGTTTTTTGTGTTTTTTTTTAATGCTTTATTTATTTATTCATGAGAGTCAGAGAGAGAGAGAGAGAGGCAGAGGCAGAGGGAGAAGCAGGCTCCCCGCCTAGCAGGGAGCCCGATGTGGGACTCGATCCCAGGACCCTGGGGTCATGACCTGAACCGAAGGCAGACGCTTAACCATCTGAGCCACCCAGGCGCCCAAGGGCATTGAGTTTTAACTGGGAATCCCAAGTACTGGGCCTGGCTTTCTGTAGAATAGAGTGGCCCTTTGCTCAGGCCCAGTGCATGAACAGAGTGACACCCTTTTTTCAGGGACCTGCATCTGATGAGGTTGATATAAAACTCAAGTGCATAGGAGGGAAGAAAGCAGAATAACTCCATGATATATCCTGTAAGAAGGTCTGCAATGATAGATCTCAGGTTTCTGTCTCATTAATGATTTGGATGAATGTACAGAAACAAATGTAAGCTTGTCTGGTCTGAAAGATTAGGACAGGAATGGGAGAAAAGGCTCAGAAACCACAAGTTTAGTCAGAATTAATGAAGAGCTATGTCTGCTCAAGTAGCATAGTATCTATAACAAGGGAGACAGCAGTCCACCACACTGTCCTCAGGGCACATCTAAAACCCTGAGTCTGCCAGGACCAGGCAAGTGTGGTCAGGCTAGTGAGGGACTGGCTTTCTGTGTGGGGCTGAGGGTATGGGACCTGGAGTCCACAGAATTGAGTTTACATCCTCTCTTTGCTACTTATTAGCTGGGTTTTTCTAATCTGTTTCCTCACTGGTAAAGACATCCTAATGATACTTACCTTGCAAAATTGTTGTGAGAACCCAAGATCGTGTACAGATGCTAGTATAGTACAGTGACCCTATGATGCAGGTGATATCCACCTCTGCTATATCATTTGTACTCTAAGACTCAGAGAAGTTAAGTAACTTACCTAAAGTTGCCACCTGGCTCCTAATCCATGGAATGGGAAGGGAATGCAAGTCTGTGTATCTCCAGAAGTCATCCTCTTAACCACTTCCTGATGCTGACACTCCTGGGAAATCTCATTTTCAAGAGCCATGGCCTGGCCCTCTTGAGCCCCTCGAGGGTTACCCATTCAGCTGGTTCCTTCCTGCAGTGGGCAAGGCGTTGGGCTAGGAGTCATTTCTGTCTTGTACTCTCTGTGTACAAGCATATCGCTGCCCCTTCTCTGGGTCTCTATCTCTTCCTCAACTCTTGACTAAATAAGTTGGATCAGAAGCTCTCTGAGGTCTTTAATGGGAGTCTTTGTCATTGCCTGAGATGGTGAAACCTCTCTGTCTCCACTAAAGAAGCCTCTTACCTTTCCTTTTCTATTCATCCCTCCAATACCCTTCCTGGGCTCTCTTCATTGTCCTGTGTTGTACTCCAAGATATGTCTTCTCCAGAACAAGTTCAGAATGAAAGATCATGAGGCAGGCTGTGCCCAGGAGCCCAGGATGGCAGTGCAGACTCCTTATGCCACTTATGATCTGGCATTCCCAAAAGGGGGTAGTGACATGAGCTGGTCCTTGAGGCATGAAGAGATTTCTTTACAGAGCTATCTGGGGTGGGTGGTGTCAGAGAGACAATTGCACATCTGGGCTATGGCTCGAGGCATAACCTTTTTAGGTGCTCGCTATGAGGACCTATGGCCTCTGTATCTCCACAGAGTGATGACATCACCAAAGTGACTCAGGCCGCTAAAATTGTGGAGCGGATGGTCAACCAGAACACATACGATGATGTTGCTCAAGGTAAGATTTGAAGTGCTGGTAACTACTATTATTGCCTGTATTAAAAAATTCCTCATGGGGCACCTGGGTGGCTCAGTTGGTTGAGTGTCCGACTCTTGATTTCGGCCTGGGTAATGATTTCAGGGTCCTGGGATCAAGCCCTATGGACTCTGTGCTCAGTGGGGAGTCTGCTTCTCTCCTTCTCCCTCTCCCTCTGCCACCCCCACCCCGCTCGCAAGTGCTCTCTCTCTGTCTCTGTCTAAAATAAATAAGTAAATCTTTAAAAAAATTCCTCATACAAGGCAAGTATTTGAGTGTCCCATGCTAGGTCTTATAGGTGCAAGGGAAGAAAAACTAATCCTTCCCTCTTCTGGATGTTACTTGGGAAACAAGACATACACAGGTCCACTACAAACAATCAATAAGAAAAAATGGGTCTAGTGATGAGATCTGACAATGGTACAGCAAAAACACCTGCACATTAGTGATCCAATGTCATCTTCCCAACAGCCCATGGAGGCAGAGAGCAGAGAGTATTACCCCTACTTTACACAAGAGGAAGCTAAGTCCAAGGCTACCTGGCTAGTGAATGGCAGAGAGGACCCAAATCTAGGTCTTGAGCTTCCTAATTCTTGTCTCTACTGTGTCCAGCTTGGGGACAATATAAATGCTAGAATGCAGACTGAAACTGCTCTGGGGATTCTCAAGAATGGAGGAAGGGAAATGAGGAATGAGTGGCAGCAGTCAAGGAAGACAGCAGGGAGGGCTAAGCTAGGTGCCAAGGGATAAGCAGAGTTTGAGTGGGAGATTAGCAGAAGGGCAGATGTTCTGGTCAAGGGACAGCATAAGCAGTGACTCGGTGGTGAAAACAAACTGGAATGGACTCTGAGGACAAAGGGCAGCAGGCTCAGTGACTCAAACAGGGGTCTGTTGGAAAGTAGTGAGAGTTCAGGCTACAGAGGTGGTTGGAGCCAGCTGATGAAGGGCCTGGAATATCTCAGAGAATCTGAGCTTTTTCTGCAGAGAGTTCAAAGAACACAGCCCAGTGAGAGCATGAGTGGAGAAGGATGTGATTGGGCAGAATACAGGGACATAGACGAAGATGAGGTTCAGGTGTGGGGTAGAATGGGCCTCATCACACTTTTCCAGGGGATGGAGAAAAGGAAGCATTTATAATAGAGAAAAACCAGCATGAGCATTCCCTGGGAACGGCCTATGTACTGGGCATTGTGTTGTGCAATTTACATGTATTACTTTATATCATCCTGACATCCACACTGCCAGGTGAATACCATTATTCTCTCCATTTTATGGGTGAGAAATTTGGGCTATTGCCACTTGTTCAAAACCACAGCTAGTATGAGGAGTGAGTGGAGCCATCAGGACTTGAACACAGGCCCCTTGGATCCATAGCCTAGGCACTTGAGCACAAGGCTACAGAGCCACTGAGCTGGAAGAGACATTCAATAAGTCTATGCTGGTGATTAATTAGTGATGAAGTGAAGAAAGAGATTGATTCAGAGATGCTTAAATCCTGGGGGCCTGGGAAATTCTGGGGTCTTTGACAGAGCCAGGGAAACAGAATCCTTCCTGCAGCATGAACAGCACGTTCCCAAGTGGCTTGTATTTCCCTAAGAGGTTGTGCATTTATTTGGAGCAGCTGCCTCCCCAAAAGTTGGCAGCTCCTCCCTGCTGGCCGGTCTCCTTTGCCGACAGCCTAGGGCTCTTCTTGGTGACTTGATGCTCATTGCTCACCCATGGGACATAGAAACCAGGGCTGCCAAGACCAGCCATCTAAACAAGCCCCCTTGTTATCATTCAGGCTGGAAAACGACCTTGAGTGCTTTTCAAAGCTGTCAAAGTACACAGCAGCTGTGAATGAATTTGTCACTCACACAGCTTGGCTTCCTGAAACCCAGCTTCTGCCACCAGCCCACCAAAGGGCTGCAAACACGATTAATATCCATGGAGAAATTGGCCTTGGTGAACCTTTTTCATTTATAAGAACACAATCAAATACAAATGCATTGAACTTCGATTTTTTTTAATTGCATACTCTTTTCCCTTTGGGAAAGTCTAATCATGAAGAAGTGAAAACAGAGAAGTGTTACCAATTAATCTCCTCTCTGAAATGAGGTATTTTCAAAGATAGCCTAAGCTCAGGGATCTCTGATATGATCAAGGCTTATGCCTCTGATCACTCTAATTTTGTTTTTTGTTTTTTGGGTTTTTTCGTTCTGAGACATTTCTGAGGTTTGAATGTGGTCCCCCAACCTCAAGGCTGGGGCAGTGCCTGGGCATGTCCTTGACCATGTTGGATGAGAGGATTCATTTTCTAAAGGGTCACCCCTGGTTGGAAAAAAAGATTGAGAAATTTTTCACTCCTGGTGATTTATTTCATTGCATTCTTTGAACAGTCATTGGGTGTCTGCTCTGTGGCTGGCATGATGCTAGGCACTGCGAGTCCAGAGATGATTGTAACATGCTGCCTGCTCCCCAGGAGCTGTCTGGTAGGGGAGACGGGCAAAGGATGGATAGAAGCAACACAGCGTGACAGACATTTTAGTAGAGAAGAGGCAGGGCTGGAATGGAGGAAGAGATGAATTCTGCTCAACAAGAAAATGAGGGCCTCACGGAGGAGAAGGAGTTTAATCTGGATCTGCAGTGAGTGAGAGTTTGCCAGGAAGATGGCAGAGCAGGACATTCTAGACACTATTTGATATAGAGGTTACGTGAACTCCTGACTGGAAATGACATGGCGGTCATGGCCTGGAGCCTTGGTTTGACCAGGAAGCGTGTGCAAGGGAAGCCACTGAGGGGTTTTCAGTGTGGTGGAGGAGGTGCTGTGGTGAGGTGGTTTACCTGTTCTCACTCAGGTAGCTCTGTGGAGCACGGACTGGAGGAGGAATTACTGGAGGTGGGGAGACCAGTTAGGAGGAGGGGGTAATAATCCCGGTGATGGCTCTTGGGGCCTGGGCAGTGGCTATGGGTTTGGAGAGAAGTGAATGGATGAAAAAAAGTCATCAGAAGGAAAATATGAGAGATGATGAAAAGAGATCAGTCAAGGATTACCAGGTTTCTTGTTTAGCCAAGTGACAAGAGAAATGGAGCTTCTACCTAAGTTAGAGGAAATGGGAGGCAGAGATGATTTAGGGCAGGAGATGAACTTGAGTTCAGAGAACCCATTTCAGGGATCCAGGCAGCTTCACCACAGCAGGGCTTAGGGGCAGATATGAAGATGGACAAACTTGGGATTTTACCTATGAGGACATGGCTACTTTATTGTAAATTGCCCCCAATAACAGTGATGACCATAACAATAACACATATAGAGAGCTTACTATGCGCCAAGTATTTTCCTAAGGACTTTACATGTATTAACAATCCTTATGACAGTCCTTTGAGATAGGTACTATTACTGTTCCCACTTTGAAACACAGAGTTTGTTTTGGCCAAGGAGGTACAGACAGAAAGTGGCAGACCTGGGTTTGCCATAAAATGGCAGTCCTGGGGCTGATTCAGCCGGGGTGTGTTTAAGATTTTAAGTACTACGAGGATGCCGCCGACGAATACCGAGACCAGGAGGGTACGCTGCTGCCACTCTGGAAGTTCCAAAACGACAAAGCCAAGCGCCTGGCTGTCACCGCCCTCTGCTGGTGAGTGTAGACATTGCAGCAACCCGAGAGCCCCTGAGCGCCTGAGCCCGGCACTTCTACCGCATTTAACCACCCTGAGGATGACACCGAGCATTATAGAAAAAAGGGACTGGGATTCTTATGGGATTGTGGGATCAGCCCAGGTCTCTAAAGTCAACAGTAGATGTCTGCAGTGTAGTTAGGCACCAGTGTTCAGGGGAAGGCCATGTTCATTTCCTGGGCCAATGGGTTCATATTTCTTTTGCAGGAATCCAAAGTACAATGACCTGTTTGCGGTGGGACATGGCTCCTGTAAGTAATCGGGCTATTTGTTCATTTGCTCACTCAACCAGCAAACATTTAAGTACCTATTCAGTGCAAAGCTCTTTGCGAGGTGTGAAAGAAGTAAAGAAGTAAGATGACTGAGATATAGTCACTGCCCTCAGGGGCTCACAGTCCAATGGGGAAGACAGACAATCATACCAACAGTTAGCGCTGGGTGAAGGACTATGCCAAAGTGAGCCTTGAAGGTATTATTGTGGTGAAGAAAGAGGGGAGAGCACTTCTGGTAGAGGAACCAGCCTATGCAAAGGTCCGGAGGCACAAGAGATATGGGAGGAAAAGAAGCTGTTGAGAGAGCCAGGGTTGGCCCCCAAAGGGCTTGGTAAGTCATTTCAAGAAGCTTGGAAATTCTTCTGAGGGCAGTCTTATGACATTCTCCTGAGGGGACATCACTGAAGGAATTTGAGAAGGGCAGGGACAGAACCAGAGCAGGGGGAAATTGCAGGCATGAGCCTGGGGGCTGGGAAACCACTTAGGAGACTGATGAGGCTCCCCCGGAAGAGATGGCAGGACCTGGACCACGACTATGGCGTGGGAATGGAGAAGTGGGTTTGGGAAGCTTGAGAAGGTAGACTGGACCAGACCTGGGGAGAGACTGGAGGTGAGGCTGAGAGAGGGAACGTTCCTGATCTGGCCCCAGAGCAGGCAGGGATGGGGGCAGGTGCTTGATGTTCATCACTTGGCCCCTGGGCCCCGGGAGACCACTATTGTCCAGGCTGTTCCTGCCCCTGCCATGCTGTCCTTATCCCCGCGGCAGGAGGCAGCTTTGTGGTAACTGTGTGGTAGTTTGCTTTCCCTTCATGTTCCGCGTTCCCTGAAGAAGCCCCTACCTCCGCGCTAGGCTGGACATTCCCCCTTCCTAACGGGAGAGGGCCCCATACTTCATGTTAGCCGAAGCTCCCCAGGCTAACAGCATGTTCTCTGGCTGGGAGGATCAGTATCTATGAACAGAAAAACCCTTCCATTCTCTAAGCTTCTGCTGGCTGGCAGACATGCAAGCTCCTGGTCTCTACCCCTCAGACCGCCGGTGCACCCAGCCCATTCTTTGACCAGGGTTGGGGAGTGGGAGGGAGGGCAAGGAGGAGTTGGTGTTTATTATTCCTCTCAGGGAGGAGACCTTGGAGCTGCTCCCAGTCTCGTGGTCTGCCTTTGAGGATGCCCTAAATGCCCGCTTTGTGTCCCCGCTCCTGGGGGTGGGCTGCTGCCAAGCTGGAAGCTCCCTCCCCCTCTGGCAGGGAACTAGCACATTCCTCCCTCTCTGCTGCAGCTACTGGGCCTGGAACGGGGCCTGGGGGCTGGGCAGGCCCTCCCAGGAGTGGGTGTGGACCCCCTATGAGGCTGATCTCAGCTCAGGCTCTCTGCCCAGGCCTGAAGCGGGGGTGAGGGAGGCTCCCTAGCAGGCAGGAGGAGAAACTGCCTCAGTTCTAGCCCCATCCTCCTTTCACCCAGGCCAGAAGCAGGGTCAGCTGGTTGGGCTCATGCAGAGGCTGTGCACGGGGGCCGCTTTAGCCAGGAGTGGTGGAGAAGAGTAAGCCACCCTCAGGAATAGATGACTCCGAGTCTGGCAGGCCTCCCTTAGGCTCCTAAAGGAGCCTCCTTTAGGCAAGCACGCACCCAGGAAGGGTCTCTTTGGCCCTTGCTGGCCACATCCACACGCCTGGGTAGCACCAGTCAGTTGTAGAACTTCTGGCTGAAGGGGTACCGCCCGGTGGTGAGACCTGGGGCCAGAAGCTGCTCTGAGTCTTGGTTTCCATGTTGGTGGCCTGAAGAGACTGACACCTGCCAGACCTCTGTCCCAGGGCTGTTGCTAAACTCACTTGAAAGAAAAGCAAATGGGCCCCCGTGAACTCTAGGAACCGCCCACATATAAAGGACAGTCATTGCTGATTGGTCTGTCGTTCTGTCCCCTAGCTTTCCTGCACGACTCTCAGGTGACCTAAGCAGAAAGAGGGGCTGGGAGGCGGAGGAGAATGAGACAAGGCCCCTGCCTACTCTAGAGAGCAGGCCCCAGGAGCGGCAGGGTGCTACTTGCTGTTGCTGCCACTGACCCAGGGGTTACTGACCCGCTCGCACACGGGCTTCTTTCTCCAGTGCCTTGCATAGCTCGGCAGCACTCTGCAGAGGCCTGAGCAGAGCCAGGCTGAGCTGGGACTCAGAAGGGCTCCTGCATTCACTTCTGAGGTCACCTCTGGGAGTCCTGTGCTCTCAGGTGCCCAGATGCCCCCCTGGAAGGAAGAGGGCCAAGCTGAGGCAGGCCAAGGGCATGCTAGTCACTGGATGAGGTCACTGCAAGGAGCTGCTGGCTCACCAGCATCCATCACACTGTCTCTGGAAACGCCCAGATGCCAGCCTCCTATCATCAGACTTTGCCTCATGCAGACAAACACTGGAGGAAGAATTGGGGTTTGCTGTTGGATTTGACCCTGATGAGCTCAGCCTAGGCCTCCTTTTGCCTGGAATTCCCAGATATTTATTCTATAGCCCAGCTAAGAAGGACTTTGGCAGGGGTAGGCACATACCTACCAAGGACTGGGGCCAGTCTCCTATTTGGGCACAGAGCAGGCATGCTGGAGCCAGGCCAGGCCAGGAGCAAGTGGGTGGGGGAAAGGGAGTCCAGGCACCTGCCCGCTGTAGCTCAGAAGCACCTGCCTTCCCTGTGTGGCTGCTGGCGGGGAGGCGGTGGGCATGTCAAGCTGCATATAAGGCAGAGACTGGGGTGCCCCTTAGGGCCAGGCTCCGTGTCTCAACTGAGTGGAGAAGGACACTGTCAGCAGGTGAAAGCACACGGAGGAACGCTGGCGGGCAAGGGAAAGTAGTTTAGGAAGGGGCGGCCCATGGGACAAAGTGGGGATGCAATTATATCGGCCTGCTGCACTGAAGGGGTCCTTTCCAGCCCATTAGCCAGCTGATAGCAGGGAAATGGGAACTCCTCGTGGTCTGTTAGGCAGGGATGGTGGAAGAGATCCTGGACACTCTGTGTGGTCCTGAGTGGCTCACAGGAGATGAGGGGGAAGCCGCCCAGCGGGCCACGTCTAAGAAAGACAGAGGAGCCTGCTGTCCCTCAGCCCAGCCTCCCTCTAGGGTCAGCCCTCCAGAGGGGCCAAAGTCAGGCCCCGAGCCCTAGCATGGAACACTTTCCCCCTCTGTCCCATCACATCCTGGCCCCTCTCTGAGCCTGCCGAGGCCAGAGACACACTTGTAGGGATTTAAATCTTTCCTGATCGTTTATTTGTCAGCTTCACTAATTAAGCAGTGTTAATTTCATTTACCGAAAATGGAAATTCATCCACCTCATTTCTCCCCGTTCATCCTCCACACACAAAATCCATCACTCCTCAGCTGCAGGCTGCGTAAAATTTACAGGACTAATTATGTTGTCAGGTCTCTTTGTAAATACAGCCCGTAAAGGCCACTGTGCTTGCCGGGTTGTAGTGCAGGGCATTCCCGTTGTTAGTGTAATTACTGGTTAGTTATTTAGGTTCTCAAATGTTTGCCTCATTGTCCCTAAGTCAAATTAAATGTCCCGCTTGATGTATTCTGTCTCCACGGCCTTACTCTTATTTCCCACACTGTTTAAATATGACTTCTTATCGGAGCAAAGTGCTCAGCCCAGCTGCCTGAGAGGCTGAACCCAGCCTGGCAGCACGGCCTCTGGGCCAGGCCGGAGGTTTGGAACCCTCTAGCACTGATGCCCTTTCCTGGTGAGCCCTGGGATAGTCCCCTGCCTTTGGAGACTGTGAAAATCCTAACCCAAAGGGCATTTCTGTTGCTGGAGTCCAAGGTGGCAGGACTGGGTGTGGGAAGCTGAGGGAGGGTTTCATTATTGTCATTAGAAGAGCTGGGGATCATTGCATCCATCCCCCTGACTTCTAGAGACACTGTTTCCAAACCATCCCAGGAAAAAGTACCATCTCTGGGGCTTCTCCCTCTGATTCCTCAAAGTAGAGTTTGGGCCAAACCTCCCGGAACGCCTACTACATTTGTTTCCCATTGCTACTGGAACAAATTGCTACAAACATAATGGCTTAAAACAACAACTATCTATTATTGTCCAGTTCTGGGGGTCAGATGTCTAAAATGGGTTTTGCTGAGGAAAGTCAATTGTCAGCAGGGCTTCATTCCTTTTAGAGGCTCTAGGGGAACATCCATGTCCCTGCCTTTTCCAGCTTCTAGAAGCTGCCCACATTCCATGGCTTGTGGCCCCCTTCCAGCCAGCAATCACGTTATTCTGACACCTGCTTCTCTCCTCAACCTCCTTCTCTGACTCTTTCGCCTCCCTTCTTCCCTTATAAGAACCCCTGTGATTGGGGCGCCTGGGTGGCTCAGTTGGGCGACTGCCTTCGGCTCAGGTCATGATCCTGGAGTCCCGGGATCGAGTCCCGCATGGGGCTCCCTGCTCAGCAGGGGGTCTGCTTCTCCCTCTGACCCTCCCCCCTCCATCTCATGCTCTATCTCATTGTCTCTCTCAGATAAATAAATAAAATCTTTACAAAAAAAAAAAAAAGTTACCAAGTACTGAGAATATCGTTGTAAGAGTAACCATAAGGTGGCAAATTAGAAGATAAACATGAATCAGAGTTGAAGTAGCTTAAAGAGCAGCCGGATGTCCTTTCATTTTGCATAAAGCCCTGCCTTTGGCAGCTGGTCCTGACCATTTGGTTCTAGGCTGTATGGGAGAGAGTAAGGAGAGATGAGTTCTGGTCTCTGGCCCACCACAATGTTCCAGCTAACCCCTGGCCCCAAGGGCTGAGGTGGCCAACATCTTCCAGGCAATGAGAACTCTGGACTGAGCAGTTCCTTTGGACTCCTCCGTGAGTGGTCTATTGTGCATTTTATATTCTCGGTATTGGGGGCAGAGCTTGGCTTCTGGGAGGATTCGTGAATGAAGTGGCTTCCTGCAGCACTGCTTACTGATCCTCACACAAGGTTTCTGTCCAGGATGAAGATTCAGGGACCGACGTGGGAGAAGGAGCAGATGAATGGGCCCAGTCCAAAGCCACAGTTAGACCCCCTGACCAGCTGGAGTTGACTGATGCGGTGAGTTAGAAGCATCCTGCCCTTGCCCCTTCCACCTTCTCCAGCCTCAGAGATGTGTTCTTTCATTGGACTGATTAGCAGCCTGTACGGAACCTGGGTGTGAGATGTCTGCTGATGCCCTTAGGGGTCCTCCCAAGTATCAGAAGGGGTGGGGGCCCTCCATGTATGACCCTCTTGATATTTCTCTCCCTTAGGAGCTAAAGGAGGAGTTCACCCGCATTCTGACAGCCAACAACCCACATGCACCCCAGAACATCGTCAGGTACAGCTTCAAAGTAAGTCATCACCCCTGGGGTAGGGGCCTCTAGTTACTCTTGGCTTGGCAGTGACTTGCTACATTGCAGAAGCCTCTCTGCTATTAGAGAGATCACCTTTAAACTTTGGTCTTCAGCTAGAACCTTGAAATTTTACATGGAATTTTCTGGAGAGTTAAAAAATTTCTTTACTAATCTCCCTTGCAGTCTTAATGAGTACTTATTACATGTCAGACACTGTGTTAATAAATTATTTTCATTATTTTTAATGCTTAAAACTATCCTGAAAATTAGGTAGTATTATCCTCATTTTACAGATGAAAAAATCAAGGCTTAGAATGGTTAAGCCCAAGGTCATGCAGAAAATAGGGGACAGAACCAGGATTTGAATCCATTCTGCCCACTGCCATAAACCCTGCTCTTAGCTGCCACGCTGTTTTAACCTCCCATCCATCGGAGTTCCCAAGAGAAGGGCTCTGTGGTGACTTTTTAAGGCAGAGCATCCCAACCTATGTGCAGAAATAGTAATCCTTTCAGCCCTCCAGGGCTAGGTGGGTTTGGTTCAGCCAGAGCCCATGGGCTGGTTTCTTCTCTAGAGCTTCCCCTCTTTAGAATTTACCCCTGTGTGTCATACAAATGTAATAATTGTCTATGTGACTTGAAAAGGGTTGAGAAGAAATGTTTTGAAAGAAGGAAGGACACCCTGGTGTCAAAGTCAATGGTACAACTAAGATGCTTGTCAATAAGGAAGCTATCTAGGGGAACCAGACTAATAGGCCCTATGAGAACAGGGATCACATCTGCTTTTGCTAAGCTTCATATCCCTGGAACCTAGAAAATACTTGGCATGTTGTGTTGTGTCTGCTTAAAAATTATTTGTTGAAGAAGGAATGAACAAGGTTGCCTGGATTTAATGCTGAGCCCTGCTTCTCATTTGCTGTATGAACTGGACAAGTGCCAAACTCAAACCTTTTCTAGATTTCTGTGGCTTCTTGTATGGAACAGGGGGATTGGGGATTTGGTATCTTTGAAAATCTATCCAGTCCTCGCATCCACTAAATGCAGTTTGGAGAAGGTCAGGCCAGGTGTGTCTGATGACTACGTGTGACCTGTCTCAACTCTGCGGTGAGTCAGGTATACCAGGATCCCTTGGCATGGATGTGAGAGCCAGTGACAGACAAATCCAGAGCTGTTCAAAGTTGAAAAGAAAAGGTATTTAAAAATATGTCTTTGATGAGAACTTAAAAACATAACTTTATTTCATTTGCTTCCTATTCTTAAGCTGGAATGTAATGAAAACTTCAGGTTAACTGAAGATATATCTATATATCTTGTTAACAGATGGACCATGTTAAGCCTTAGAGAATGAAGGCAGACTACATTCTCACTCCAGCTCTTTTGGGACCGCTGGTCTGATTCAGTCCCTTCTCCTCTTAGGAAGGCACATATAAGCTTATTGGCATTGTGAACCAACTGGCAGTTCACTTCAGCCAGGTTGGGAACCTGGTCCCCAAAGACTCGGATGAAGGACGGCGGCAGCACTACCGTGATGAGTTAGCAGCAGGTAGGCCTCGGGGCCAACCCGAAGCTGCAGCCCAGAGCCCAGTGCCCTTTCTGTGGTCACCCTAGGAAGCAGATACTAAGCAATAACTTTGCAGAGCTTCTACTTACATAAAATCCCACAGCTGGCTGCTGGTTAGGTCTGGGAGTTAAGCCCTGAGAACCCTGGGGTAGCTGAGGTCTTAAAGGCAGAAACCAAGAAAGCCTTGCCCTGCCAGGGGTGGGGGCGTAGGCCTGGGCTTCAGGTTCATCTGCAATATCTTACCAAGGTTCTCAGGAGTCCACCAAGGTGGTGATTTCAGAAACCGAAATCCTTGAAGAAGAAGAGCCTAAGGAAGCAGAAGCTGAAACTGAAGCTGGGAGTCAAACAGATATGCCTGTAGCTGAGGTACAGTATAGTACTGCTCCCATCCCTCCCCTTCCAGCTCTGGCTGTGCATGGAAGCTTCAGGGGTCACTTGTTGTGGGGGGTGGAGCTGAAGGTGAGAAGTTAGAGGCTGCAGGTACCAATGCCTCTGGCATCATCACCCTCTCCCACTTCCATCCTCTCCTAGGACATAAGTTCTCCCCACCCCCTGGTTCCCCACCACCTTCTTCCCACAGCTGAGCCCTGGTCCTGTGGGTCTTTTTTTCTAGGCAGCTGCAAAAGTGACTGAAGAAGAATTGATGACTCATAAGCAGCCCAAGGAGCGAAAGCTCACCAACCAGTTCAACTTCAGTGAGAGGGCCTCACAGACCTTAAACAACCCTCTCCGGGTAGAGCAGCCCCCACCCCAGCCCCTTTACCTCCCAGCTCTGCACTGTGCATGGCAGGAAAGGAGCAGGCCTGATCCCAGCCCCAGTGGCCCTTAGCCTAGAAGGATGACAGGAACACGCCACAGTTAATCTCTCCAAGGAGAGCTGGGAACATGTGTTTGGGTCCTTGCAAGCCCTCCTGGTAGGAGTTCAGAGTGGGTGACAAGGAGTCTGGAGCCCTTCACTGAGACAGAAACGTATATGGGCCTTGGAGAAGAGGTCAAGATCTGGGGGAGAGAGGGGAGGCCAGAATGTGCCAGGGAGGCAGGACCCTAAGCCAGTTTGACTGAAGTTGATGGTCTCTGTGATAGACTAGCTGGAAAAGGCTGGAAAAGTTCCCTGGCTCATAAGTATGGAAGACCCCGAGTACCAGGCTGAAGGAACCTCTCAGGATTTCAGGGGAGAGACTCACGTATGTAAGACAGTGTTTTACAGAAATCAATCTGTGAATGGAGGGCAGAGGTCTACAGGATGGGTTTCTGGAAGCTCCTAATCATGGTGTGTACTCCTTGTACTCCCCTGTGTACCAGTAATCTGGGTGATACACAATGAGGAGGGAGTGTATTCCTCTGCTGGAACCAGAGGCCCCAGTATTAGGGAGAAGTCTTCTCAGGGTGAGGGATATTAGCCCAGTAGTTTGCCAAGGGCCGACCTCTGTGTCTTGCATCAGGAGGCTGGCCAGAGACCTGTCCATCCCCCATGTGGAGTTTTTCTTGGTTGAAACTGTCACAATCAGGCTTCATTGTCCCTGATTTCTAGCTTAGGCTTCTTCTGAAGGAGGCTTAGAAGGAAAATGTAGGCTTCCACTGTGTCATTTGGTCCTTTGTTTAGCCCCTCTTTACTTCCCCAGTTCTTTGTCCCATCCCTCCCTCTGCTCCAACTGAAATGTTTCACCCATGGATATACTGTTGGGTTAAGTAAGAAGGAGTTGAGGGCTTTCTGTGGGTTTCCTGTTGTCATTGTTCTCTAGGACCGAGAATGCCAGATGGAGCCTCCTCCCAGGACAAACTTTTCAGCCACAGCCAATCAGGTGAGACACTGGGTCAGTATAAAGTCATCACCACACCCCCAGCCACCCACCCCATGCATCCTTGTCAAAGATTCCTCTGACAGTCTGCCCTCCTCATCCATCCGTCTCCCTGCTCCTTGTCCAGGCTCTGAACACTAGGAATATGAGACAGTGGGACTCCACCCACTGAGCTCTGCATCAGCTACATGCACCACCCCCACCCTGTGCAAGGCTGTCAAAGAGGGAAATAGGCATGGTTTCTAACTCTCTGCAGCCCATGGCACCCCAAGGCTGACTCTGAAGTGTTAGCACTCTAACCTGCCCTTCCAGCAGCCTTCATTGTTCCTGAGACCCTCCTTCCCCCTCAAATCCTATTGGATAGCCATGCTGATTTGGGCAGGATTTGGTGCCAGGAGACCTGAGCTCAGGCCCCAACTTTGCTGCTCATACTATAAGATCCTGGGTGAACCACGTCACTCTTAATTCATCAGTCTCTCTTTCTGAGTCAAATGAGGACAACAAGCAGCCTCACAGGGTTGTTGGAAGGCTCTGAATGAGATTAACAAACATTAAATTATATTGTAGCATGGAGTACTGACCCATGGGTGAATTGTTAATGTAAGGTGCGTCTATCTGGCCTCCAGGTGGCAGTGACTGCCCAACTCTGCAGAGCACAGAATGTGATATGGGGTTTTTCAGTCCCAGATCCTTGCTGCTTCCTTTGCTACTATCCTTGGGCTTCTCTTGCTGTCAGATCCAGTTAGCAGGGGTTCCCTAACCTTTTTTTTTTTTAAGCTTTTATTTATTTATTTATTTATTTATTTGAGAGAGAGACAGAGACAGAGGGCAGGAGCAGAGGGAGAAGCAGAGGGGGAGGGGGTAAGAATCTCAAGCATACTCGGCACTGAGTGTGAGACCCAACACGGGGCTCAATCCTCTGACCCTGAGATCATGACCTGAACCAAGAGTCAAACACTTAACTGACTGAGCCACCCAGGCACCCGTCCCTTCCTTTTGTTTATCTTTTTAGTCTCAGAAGGTGTGGTCAGTGCTGTAGACAGCCGACATGAACTAGTAAAGTTTATCACATTTCCATAGGGGAAACATTTTTAAAATGTCCTAGTTCAGAGTCTTATAAATCACCAAGAAAAATATGAGCTAGTCTAATATTTGCCCATTTGTTTTGCCTAGCGGGGTCTGTAGGTTGGAACAATACTGATCTCCAGCTGATAATTGAGCCTCTGAGCTGCGGGGTGGAAAGCTCATCCCAGAGGTGCCCTGAGAGCTTCATTCCTGTCCTAGAGCTGACAGCAGAGAAGACAGACATCTAAAACATAGTTACAGTGGTCCAAGTAGAGGATGCCATAGAGGCATATGCAGGGGTTGACATAATCTATTCCTCAAGCTCTAAAAGCTGAATAGGAGGTGACTGGATGAAGATTTTGCCCCGTGATGATCCTTTTCATCTTGCCCTTGCCTAGTGGGAGATCTACGATGCCTATGTAGAGGAGCTTGAGAAGCAGGAAAAGACCAAAGAGAAAGAGAAGGCAAAGACGCCAGTGGCTAAAAAAATGGGGAAGATGACCATGAGGAAGATGACATCTATGGAGTCCCAGGTTTGGTGGAGGTTTCCATGGCTCTGTCACAGAGAATGGCTGAGTGGGATATTGGTCTCTGGGTAGACAGAAGCCTGGCTTTCTGGAAGGACTTCACAGACTTTAAGGGGTGGGGTGCCAATGTTGAAGTATGAATAGTTCTTTCCTTGTGGGAAGATGTGAGAAGAGCTACAGCTGCCTCTGGCATTCTATACCTCTCCCCAGTCTTATATAGGATTCAGGATTTTTGGGCTAAAGGGCAACAGAAGACATGAATGTTATTGAAAGTCCAATGTACACCTTGAAAGAGCTCAGGACTCTTCTTGGGATGGATTGGGATATGAGAATAAGGCACCACCTCTGAGCAAGGGCTCCTGGGGTTTGGGAGAGTGATTTGCTCTTTGACCTTCAATCCTTGGGTATACTTCTGCTCAATTTTTTAGGTGAGTCTTATGGGCCAGAAGCCAAGTCAGAGCTGATCACAGTCACCAGCAAGTCCAGGCCAATGGGTGTGGTTATTCTGGGCTGGATTTTTACTGTGAAGAACCATTTAGGAGTCATTATAGAGGTCATGGTTGGGGGGCTCACTGTGGGTATAGCTAGTATAGATTGGAGATCATCATGGAAGTTATGGTAATAGGTCACCACAGGGAAGATCACCACAGGGAGATGCTGAAGGGCCACTTTTGTCCCTTCAACAGAGAGAAAGCTGTGTCAGGAGCCAGAGTCGCAGTATGGATATCAGGATGAGTTTGACCTGCAATGGAGTGGGAAAGATGAGGGCCACAGGAAGCTGAGGTCTGGGTTCAGCACCCTGGAGAGCTCCCAGACTGCTCTCTGGGAAGTGCTTCTGCTATAGAAGCCAGATCAGTTAAAGGAAACTTTGCTTTGTCTGAGGTATGCCCACTTCCACTCAATTCCATGTCCCTGATAAAAGTCACATTTTACGGGAGGTTTGAGGGTTCCCTGCTTTGGCTTAGTATGAACTTCCACAATTCAGTTTCATTCAACTACAGACCAAGAACTCGTGATCATGATCATGCTGGGTACTGGAACCCAGAGGTGAAAGATGAAGTCCCTGCCCCATGGGTTGCCCTATCCAGACCCTTGATTTCCCCTGTACTGTTGCCCAGAAGTTAGTGGCTTTGGAGGGGCTGTTGGCCTGAGTCGAGTTTCACTTGAATATCCTTCAAAGGTTTGGCTATAGGCTGTGTGCTAGGACCATTATTGCAGAAACCCTAACTGCAGTTGCCAAGACCCAGAGAACAGAAGAAATGTCCCAGTGGCTGAGACTGAAAACTGTCCTTGGGTCTAAACCCTTGGTGTCTAATATGTCTATCAGACTTGGTGTCTAATGTGCCCAGGGAAGGAGGACTACACTGGATTCTTCCAACTTGGTTGACATTCAAGGCTGTGATGCAGACAGATTCCAGCCCTCTGGACCAAGAAGCTACAGTGGTGGCAGGACATTGTGGGGTGTCCCCCAACACCAGTGAATACCTTAGTGTGCAACCTCTACACAAGGGCATTGAGTTTTTTGTGTTTTTTTTTAATGCTTTATTTATTTATTCATGAGAGTCAGAGAG